AATACTGCTCGACTCACAGGTTTATGACCGGTTTACATCCGCCGGAGCGCAGCCGTTTAGCCAATCGAATGGCGTATCGACCGGTTTACTCTCATGGAGAAAACTCTGACCACCGGTTTACTGATAATTGCGGGCGGTTATGTGTGATTCATGTGATGTTTACAAGTCCACGACCCACGACGATATATTCGCAGATTATTAGTCTAGTATTACAACATTTCGTAAGAGGAAACCATGCAGGGCGATAAGTCCTTAATTATACGCTCGGTAATCCATAATCAAATTTCAACAACAGTGTTTATTAAGTGGCGTAATAGATTAGACAACATCAATTTTATGAAACAGAATATTCTTTAATTAAATTAGTTATATACATGGAGGTTTTTTCTCTCTTTGAAAAATCTGACAGGTTTATATAAACCTGTCAAACCTGTCTGAATCCGCCCCTTATTGCAACTTTTTTATATATTCGCAGGCAAAATAACATAATTGCTATTGCTTTATGTAAATGTAGTTGATAATCAAACTTTCTAAAACCTTCAATTGTATGAATGCTTCAAACTATCTTTAATATTTGATGTTAAGACATATTTCTTTCTGTTGAGTCCTAGACCTTTTGTTTTTAATTCAAGCAATCAAACTGCCAAATTACTGTAATTATTTTAATAACAGCATAGGTCATTGATAATCAGTTGAATTTTATAACTGCTTTGGGAAACCCTATTTTGTAATGAGACACATTACTTTTTGCATTATTGTATATTGTAAGGTCAATGGGATAAACTGCTTGATGCACAGTAGATTTTATAATCTTAAATATAGTTGCACTCACTATTGTATAAATAATTCTATTTTTATAATAAAGTATTACTTTTGACTTTGTGTAATAGTGTTTTCTAATTCTTTGACTCATCAGATGCACAATAATTAAACTTTTCTAAAAAAATAAAATAAATTTGCCAGTACTCTCAGGAAATGAAAAGATGATAAACTCTCAATTTTTGCCTTTTGAGTTTAGTGGTTACTGTAAATATCATTAAAAAAATGTCCAATTTTAAAAAAAAATTTGGAGACCTGAAGAAGTTTTGGTGCCAATTGAAATTAAAAATTTGAATTAAACTCAGAAAATTTCATAGCAATGGGTAGTCATTCCTGATGCAAAAAGTATAAGAAGTAATAGTGAAGGGTCAATTGACAGAATCAAAAATCAAAAGAAAACTTCCCAGGACATTTCATCAGTAAGCAATTTATTTTTAGTTTCTTACAGTATACTATTATATTGATTGAAATTAGACTTGCATTAACATGATAAACATCCCTAAGGATGAATTACTATAAAAACAGTTGATACAAAATGTTCATCAAGAAAAGTGGTCCCCCAAAAAGCAGATGTTTATATGTTCTGACCACTTTTGTTCTGGTTGCATTGTCCATACTGTTCTGTTCTCAAAAAGCAGACACTTGTATGTTCTGACCACTCCTGTTCTGGCTTCATTGTTCATTGTCCATATGTTCTGGCTTCATTGTCCATATACAATCTTTTTACTGAGCTAGATCACCATATTTTTGACTCACCAGTTGGTGAAAATCATGTTATATTTCAGTTGACCAAGAGCATCATCAAGAGTTACTGTGAGGTTAAATTTTACCATCTTGGAAAAAAGACCACTGAGAATTCATCTGGACAAAAAATTAGAAACAAATTAAATAAACTTGTACCTTTTAAGCACCAGTGTGAGTGATTACACAGAATGTATCAGAGAAAGCTAAATATTACTAAAATTTACTATGAAACTGCCCAAGCTGAAAGTGCAGACTCTGTCTCAAACATAATTTTACTAAAGATTTATAGTGAAAACTGCCCAAGCTGAAAGTGCAAACTCTGTCTCAAACATTTCACAAAAGATTTAGAGTGAAAACTATCCAAGCTGAAAGTGCAGACTCAGACAGTCTCAAACATTTCACTAAAGATTTACAGTGAAAACTGCCCAAACTGAAAGTGTACTTTTAGTGTAAGTGTACTGTTTTTTTACAGTATAAACTGCCTACGCCGATAGTTGAAACGTTACTTACCATAAATTTCCATAAAGTGGTGCCAGAAATCGTAAGTACATGTATTGATTAGACGATACTTCACCAGATAATCATTCACAGATTCAAAACAAATATATAAAGAATGTCGTAATTCGAAATTTTTAGCTTTAAAATGCGATTTAAAGACAACAACATCGCCAATTAATGTTTTTTTCTTGTACCCTTTTCCAAAAAAGCTGCGATTTCAAGGCGAACGTACCTCAAAAAGGTATTTTTAATCCAGAAATGCAAAAAAGCCTCGAAAAGTATAGTATTTTCTATAGCATTTCATTGATGAGTGGGAACGACCAATATGGCCGCCGCCTATTTTCATGGGGGAAACCGCTGAGATTTTTGGCTTCAGTTTTGTATTCCGAGATGCGCTATCTAGTGTATATGAGATATCTATGGTTTTCCCCGAGTAGCTAATTTTAATACGAAAGCGTACCATGTTTGATAATACCTCGCTGCATCGATCGAAATCTTTTTGAATTAAACCCACTTGTGATGTTCATGAACACAGAAAAATCGCTTAACTACGATGATTTAAAGGCTTGTGTAAAAAAAAACGGAACAAGAGCGCATTTTACAAGTGACTGGAAGCTCTGACGTCTCAACTCCGCTATAATTGAAGCTAAACAAATTGGCCAAATTGTATCAAATTTCAGAGGCTGTCGAGTCTTCAAATCGCGGTCAGTAACAAGTTTTATTGTGGATATGGGTACTTCAAACTTCCATTTTTTTAACCATATTAGTCACTGAATCCAGTTAGGTGCCACTTTTGAGAAATTTAAAGTCGAATTTGATATGCGTACAAAGCCGTATTTACACCCGGTGCTTGTTATCGCTAAAGTTTGCCATAATCTTTCTGTTAAAGTACCATAAAACAAGGCAAGTTTCAAAGTAGAATAATTTTCACGTTGGTGGGTCATAAAATCATAAAATTCGGTTGAATACTTTTAAAATTATATGTATTTGAATTCGGCTAATTTTTATTCCTGATTTAGGCAGAGGATTTTCTGCCCGACGGCGCGGGCCGAAAAGTCGCTGAAATTTTAAAAATAGGTACGCGACGCGTACATGTATCTGCGAAAAAACCAACCTCGTTCCCAGGGTATTTGCTCTTGGGAAGCAAAGACCCTAGTGGACGCTGGTCACGTGATCTGCTAAAATCTAGCAGATTTTTAATTAGCGTTGTTTTGTCAATCTGGGAGGGGTGGGAATGTAGTAGTTGACATTCGCCAGATGCATTAGTGCTGTATACTTCACTTTACATGTATTAATAAACATGATTTATACTGTTCTAAATTCGTACTCATCATGACAAGATTTCCTGCTATATTGAATGTCATCAATAATAAGTGCTGCGGTACATTTCAAGCGAGAAGCTGGATAATATTTCACTTGCAAGGAAAAATATACTCCACACGCGCCTGGCTAGTGAGCACGCATCAGATCGCCGTATAAATAGAGATTACTTCATGGTTGGCAAGCGCGTACGGTTTTTATTCACGAGTGAATTATTACAGGCGAACGAGTGAGCGCAGCGAACGAGTGAGCCTGTAATAATTAACGAGTGAATAAAAACCGTACCCGCGATCCAACCATGAAGTTATTTGTTTATATTATAAGTATTGAGATTTCACTCAAGAAAATGCATATTTTAAAATGATTAATAATAGTAGATTATTAACAGCATTTGAGGTTGCATAAATTAACTTTTTATTTTGAGAACACAACAACACAACTTGATTGTAAGAATTTCAACGCGAAGAAAATATTAAATTAACACGTATTTTAAAAATACTTCAAAGGCTATAAATGCTTATAAAAATGTCTAAAACTCATCGTCACTGTCCTCTAAAGGTTTAAGTCTCTTCCATTTTGACAACGCTTCATCTTTGGCGGAATTTTGGCTTGGTTCTTGTTCCAATGTGAGCTTGGGCGACTGGTTTACTGTGTTTATGTTAATGGAAAAATTGCCGCCTTTAATGACAGCTCCGCTGAATAAAGCCATAGCTTGTTGTGCTTCGGAGATGGGCGAGCAAGTTGGTGGTGAATTTACTGTTTTATCAGACGATGTCTTTGCTGCACTACCAGATGTATAGCCACTGAGAACTTTGGACATTTGCATTTCCTGTTTGCTCGACACTTTGCTGTAGCTTTCTAAGCTTTTTAAATTCTTGTGCCCTGACAGTTGAGCGATATGTGTCGGGGGAATATCATTTTCGCTAAGTGTTTGAATCATTGTTTTTCTCCCGCTGTGATTTCGCAGTCGTTCGTTGTTGATTCCTGCTTTTTGAGCCATTGTCTTCATCAGACTGTTCAGTATGTTTATTCCAACAGGAGCGGCCTTGAACCACTCTTTCGTTTGAAGCGACTCTTTCTTTAATGTGTTGTTCACAGCTAGGTAGAAAGGGGAATCATCCTCGTTCATTTTTCCTGGTCTCTTCCGCTCGTAAAGTTTGTAGACCACGACAGGATCTCTTTCCGACCCATCAGTAGCAAACATTTTAGGCGCCATTTTTCTGACATCACGGCAATCTGAACCGGTTCTTGTTTTGGTTTGTCTTTCATTAAATTCTAAAAATTCCTCACCGTCTGCTGTTTGCTTCAACTTAACATCGCCCCAACACATGTCTCTGTGTTCTTTGCAACCTCTGAGTCCAAAATGCATAGTGTTATTCAACCAGAGTGTGTTTAAAAGCGACTCAGGACTTCGTGTACCGAGAAGGTCTTTTTCATACAACGTATTTAGTTCCGAAGTAGTTAAAGCCACAGAAGCGTTTGGTTTATTTCCTTTTCCTTGTTTTTTTAATTGTTTTTGCTTGGACTCGAGAGTTTTTCTTGTCTTTTCGAATGCCAAGTCATTGATAATACTAGCAGGGTAGTTTTTCCTCTTAAGATGCCGCTCGAAACTTGCCAGTAAACTCCGAAGAGAAGATGGCTCGTATTCTTTTCCGTTTTTGGTTCTGACCGAAATTATAAAGTCAGACATGTATTCGTTTAGTTCTCCTATCGGGATATCTTCAATGTTTCTTTCTTCGTTCTTGTTCACCAAAAATAGTTGTAATAATTTAACATCACGCTGTGTTTTTTGCGCCGTGCTCTTGTTCTCCTGTTCCAAAATAAAGTCGTCAACAGAACCGGCGTCAACAAATCGCGAAGCCATTTTGTTGTTTTAAATAATTAAATTCGCAATTCCGCGCCAAATGAAAAATGACGTATTTTCCCGTACGATCATTTCTCACTAGTGAAAAACCATCGTTCGTCCAATCAACAACGGCGAACGATGATTTTTCACTAGTGAGATTTCATCGTTCTCGTTGCTGATTGGCTGTTGCTAATTTGGAACGATTATTACGCACTGCGATTTCGATGAGTAAATCTCAATACTTATATAATAAACATACATATCTGATATCTTCTACACCGACTGATCGATCAAACGGTATTTATATAAAACGAACGATATGATATGGTTGTTTATAGTTGAAATGTATCCTGTCCGATATTCAAAACAAATGATTTATTTTATAACGGGATCCTTTGATTTCCCAACTGAAGTACTGAACATCGACAACTGTGTATATAAAAACAATAGTGCTGTTTTGACTGTGAATTACAGTAAGCACAGGATTAAAACCCGTTATTCCTTTTATTTACATTGCTGAAACAGCTCAACGATCAAGAATGATATATGTCGAAGTACAGCTACAGTATACTGTTATCACACGCCAAGACTCCTCGGTGCGTGCGGTACAACTTGAATATCTAGGACGATATATGCACTAGACTAAATTATATCATATATTGCAGTAAACATTATAAATCTTATAAAGACCTTTCATTGGCATTGGTATTAATGCCCAGGCATTATTTGAAAAATAATCCACCTTAAAATCCAGCTTCTTTCGACTTGTATAATGCCGCTGCGAGTCATCAATATTTAATTCAACTTTAAGTCTTTAATCTTTATCGTATATACCCCTATACTGTGTCGTAACTGTAATTGAAATTTTAGAAGTTTCACCAAACGATACTTCGTAACTGTAAGCAAACAACCTATCTATCAGTATCAATAGAAACTTTAAAAGGCTTAATAAAACTCATTAAGTAATTCTATGAGCGAGACTTGGTGCGCATATACAGTTTACGAATTATGTATATATAAATATATATCCCTGATAAAACGTATAGGGACACTTCGTACCAGATATAATAACAAATACTTTGCTAAATCTTTTCGGATATCATTCCTTTGCATTCAGGGTGGGAGGGTGAATGGCGATAGCTATAATTTATTATAGGAGATTCTGTGCAATATTTTGGCTCAACAAACAGGTAGTCGTGAAGACAAAAAAGTGCACTGTCGAGTGTCGATTCCAAACAATTTTGTCAGTCGCTTTTGATACCTCTATTTTACAAAATTTATACCGTTTCCTTTCTATATGACAACAATTCAATGGCATATTATAAGAATATTGTAAATATCTGAACCAGAGGCAGAGCCAGGACAGAAACGTACATATGAAATGAAAATATTGCGCCCGAACCCCGAGAGAATATTAAAAACGCAAATATTTCAAACCATACGGTCATACGTTTTCGTTGCTTGATTTGCTGACTTGTCTGTTAGTACAAGAATCTGCATTTTACCATGTTTGTATAATTTAAAACGGCAAACAGAAACCAATTTAGCAAGAATTTTGAAGAATATATGATTCTCAAAGATTATTGTACAGCACGGCAAAGCACGGCCACTCCTTGCAATCAAAGTGTGAAGTGCGGAAGTGGAAACATGTAATATGAGACCTTTCCATCCCCCTCTGAGGCTATCAATTTTCTATGGGTCACGTGACCAGCGTCCACCAGGGTCTTTGCTTCCCAAGAGCAAATACCCTGGGAACGAGGTTGCGAAAAAACTTGATTCACATTTTGTATTTTCTTGAAAGAAACTAAATAATTAACTAAATGAAGATGACATGGCAAGTGTTCCCCCACCACCCCCGCACCGAGAAAATTTAACTAACTTTGTAATGTGATTATGATTGTAACAGATAATTATGCAGTCAGGAAATAAAAATTTCATGCAAACAATATTCAAAGTGTCTATACAGCCGGCTATTTAGTAAACTGTCACCTGTCAATGGGTCGTTCCAGAAAAGATCCATACTCCCCCCACGGAGGAAATTTCAGCCGCCCGGAGGGGGAGGGGAGAAAAAATTGTTTCTGATAATAGTAATTGTATTAGGACATCCGGAGGGGGTAGGGGGGTTAACTTCCTATTTCCTCCGTAGGAGCGGTATGGATGTTTTCTGGAATGACCCAATTCAATCCATACTCATCAAATTTTCAAAACTTTATTGTAATCATATGAAGCAAAAGTTATGTCACTTGTTGTTTACACTTGCCAATGTTAACTGTTGAGTAACATACACAAAATATTTGGTGAACATGTCGAAGACCACTGAATAATTGAGAATGTTTTGAAGGTCATGAGTGAAGTATATAATTAAATTCCAGTTCTGTGCACAGTTAATGATATACCACACTGTTCGGTTTAACACGTACAGCACATTCACACAAAAACAATTGTGTTGTGGGAGATTATCGGTTTGAGTAGAAGGTATCACAAGTTTAGTTTTGTACATTGTGTGCCATATTGATCAAATCCACCATATAATATATGATTATTCATTGTAGCTGTTAAGTTATTTTCCATACTAATGAATTTAGGTAAGATTGTCTTGCAAGTTGGTTGTGCTGACAAAATTATCCAGCCAATATCCAGTACATTTATTCTTCATTCTTGTATTAATCTCTAAAGAAAAATATTTATGTTAGAAAGCAAAATGACAATGTAATGAGGCTCAGGAGGGTGAGGATTCTTTTATTTGAAAATGTTTGTAAACAATTTTGTGTAAAACCAAAATGTATAAGTATTTTAACTGATAACATCTTCAACCTTTGCTCTAACACTACATTTGATGACAGCTTTATAGTTGGACTGTTGTTTTGAACAGAGTTATGGAGTCAATATACAGAAATACAGGACCAGGATTTAATTCAATATCTCCTGAGAATGTTTTCACTGTTTAAAATATTACAAAAGTCACAGAAGGATTGTTTTTAATACTGTATAAATCTTTTTGTGAACTATGTTGATAAATGGCTTAAAATATCCTCGAAAATATCCAATATTTTATACAGTGTAATATATTAATATTAACAAAACTCCAGAGTGCATTCCATGTAAACTCTACGCCGAAGATACGGCAATATTAACTTATAGATAGTATAGTAAATATTTGCCGAACTGGCGAACTCATGTATTATAAAATATGTGGGACATATATTTGCACAAATTTGGTATTTAAATATATATTATGTGGTATTTGATTACTTACCAGATCAGGATAAGATTCCATGTTGATAAATAACTTCGGAATAAAAAAAAGACAGCCAATTCAAGATAAATTGACAAAAATATCAAGATATTATTGAAACAATAACACGATTTATACACGAGGCTTGACGAGGCTAAAGTATGCCCGTTCGCAGGTTAGATGCGGGCACGATGTAAACAATTGATGTAAACGAATCGCTAATTGGCTTAAATTTGCTTAAATTATATAAGCTCGTCGCTGAATGGCTATGTGTTAGCATACGGTAACATTAACGGCACGTTTGCGATAGAAATATATCTGCTTCGCAGATACAAAAATTAATAAAATTTCAAAATTCCAAATAGTGTTTGTTTGTTTGTTCTTGGGGTAAATACATTTCATTGTGAAAGTAACGAACAATTTCATTTTATGAGCCGAGAGTCGTTGGTCGGTTCTTAGAGAGACAGCCTCTGGTTTGACTTCTGCCGCTGACCAAAGGGGGGAGGCTCTTCAAAAGGGGGGAGCTCTTCAAAATTGACATCTTTATAATTTCACCGTTTTACGGCTGATAATTCTGAGAGAAATTAAACCCAACGGACGTTTGAATCGAAATTCGTGCATATGGTACCAAGTGAAAAAAAATTACCAAAATCTATATTTACTCGACTTTCCTCATCTTCAAACAGTCCCAATGAGCACACGGCTATAATAATAAATAATCGTTGTTTTGTCTCACTGCTAGCAGAGGCGTAGACAGGGCTGGGACCTGGGGGCCCGCCCCCCCCCCTCCTGGAAAAATTGTGCCCCTCCCCCCGATAAAATGTATTGTATAAAAAGCATGCATCTAAGCACGGAAATCATAATTTACAGTTTTGTTGTGTTGCTGTGGAAAAGTACTTTAATTTACAAAACGCCAAAAGAAACAGCTACGTCTGCCGGTTTTCAAAATATAGTTTGGTACACAAATGCCGTAATCACGATTATGTACACTGTACAGTATTAAGAAGGATTTACCTCACGAGATCTTTGTCGATTGCCGCCACCAAAACTGTAGACTGTAGTTTTATTAAAGCCGAGCATTCAACTCAAATTTCTTCGAAAAATAACTCTAGAAAATATACTTGTATTGCCAAACAATTCGCCGTATACCACCACCTGTTTCATAAAGTTTCCATTTGCCATTTGTTGAATAGTCACCAGTTCTTGCACATCTACTGTTTGCAGCGCAGTGTATTACCTAGTAAAAACACTGTTTTTGAAAGCTGTAAAACAACTTCGCTGCTTCATTTTCTGTTTTCGTGTTCTGTTTTATAGGATAAACACGCAAGCGTTGAAAAATGCTTTTCAACTCCAAAATAATTCGAAGTCCATTTGATTGGCTGGGATTTTGTTCTCAAATTTAATTACTCAAGCACTGCCTAAAATTCCAAAATTGATTTATTTGCCGCTTTGATCACATAAATTTTTTTCTTCAAACTTTCAAAATGCTTAATTAAATCCACGTCTGAAATGTTCAATTTCAGTTGCCTATTACTTGTTGAACAATATTTCTCCCATCTATCCCATTCTATCCCTAGTTTTGACACTTACTTTCCAGCCAATTAAAACGTTCTTATATTACATTTATTTTTAAAACAAATTTAACCTTGGGTTAAATGTCTTAACCCGGGGTTAACTAACCGCACCTCTAACCCAGCTTTGAACAACGCTGTTTTAACTCAGGGTTAACTAACCCTGGGTTGAAGATTTTAACCCAGGTTTAGCGCTAACCCTGTGTTAAAGT